TGGCCCTTTGATATAAAATACATTTAAATTACAATAACATTTACTTCCCACACTATTTTCTAATTAAAGAGGAACTTCACCCCTCTCCATTTATTTTCTTTTTAATTCACACTTACCAAATGCTGGGTGGTCTTCAAATTAGATACTCTCCCATCCAGCAAATGGGGGAGTCTTGCGCTACCATGTTCTTCTGTGAAATCACTGGGAGCTGGCTGTCTCTTTTGGGTCATCCCTAATGACATGCAGCAAGGCCTGTCCTCTTCCTCTAAAATTGAGTGGAGCTTAAATATTTACTTCAATTATTATGTGAAAAGCAAATCTGTGTTCACTTTAGCATGCCCAGTCATGTGTAGATTAAATATATACACAGTTTTTTTTTCATATGGTTGGATAGTTGGTTATTGTTCCCTCAGTAAGTTAAGTAAATATTATCAAGTCCTTTTTAAGAACCAGGCTTGTGGCTTTATTTATGAATCTAAAATTATGTGGGGAATTTGAGATTTCTGAGTAACTCATGCTGCATAAAACAAATATCTGAGGCGAATTACAAACCCCTAACTGCAAAAATCCAATAGGAATTATCTCACTGTGCTCATCATAAATTAACCTAGGCGGGCAGATTGGCGGCGTAATGAAACAATGATTTTGTCACAGATGTCATCTATGTTTTTCGCTTGTTGCCTATCCCAATCCCACCATCATATTTGGCCTCCCTCACTTCTCTTTTTTGGATATATACTGTACTGTATTTGGTAACATAACTACCCTAAGTCTAAGTGTTCCTATGCCTACTTATTAAAACACAGACAAGTAGAAGGTTTTGGTATGGTGGGATTATTATCTACCAAAACAGTTGGCTCAACTTAGACAATGGCTCCATCCTTCCTCTGATACTCTTCGGGTGCATATAGAGCCTGCACTTAAGAAATTCATTTTCACACCCTTCTTTTAGTGGATCTTTTGAAATCCCTACCACTAGGAAATCTACCATTGACTGTTAAGTCCTCAATCATGGCATGGAGGGCATTGCCTGGTCTACCACAATACCCCTCCTAAACCAAAGTAATATGAATTCCCATAGCAACGCTGGAAATCCATATTCCATACCTCTCTGTTACAAAATGGCTTAGGCAGGGCATCTTATGGGTGGACAAACTACTTGGTGACAATTTGCCTAAACCTTTACCTGAACTGAGCAGAATATATGGTATACCTGCCTTAGAATATTACACTTATATCTGAATCACTCAGTTTATTATTATTATTATTATACAGTATTTATATAGCTTCAACAGTTCGCTCAGCGCTGTACATTACAATGGGGGACAATAAATGAGACAGTACAATAACAATACAGTGCGATACAGGAGGGGTTCGAGGACCCTGCTCCTTGGAGCTTACAATCTAGGAGGGAGGGGATAGTGGTACAGGAGGAAAAGCTGTGGGGGATGGAGTGGTAGGAAGAGTGGAGCAGATCGGCAGTTAGCAGAGGGAGGAGTAGGCTTCCCTGAAGAGGTGGGTTTTTAGGGTGCGCCTAAAGGAGAGGAGAGTGGGTGATAGTATGATGGATTTGGGTAGGGAGTTCCAGAGGATGGGTGATGCCCCGGAGAAGTCCTGGAGTGGGGCATGGGAGGAGGAGATCAGGAACTAGAGAGAAGGAGGTCTTGTGAAGAGCGGAGAGTGCGTTTTAAGTGGTATTTGGATATTAGGTCAGTGATGTAGTTTGGGGCAGAATTATGGACAGCTTTGTACGTCAGTGTTAGCAGTTTGAATTTGATCCGTTGGGCAATCGGAAGCCAGTGGAGGGATTGGGAGAGGGGGGTGGCGGAAACGGAGCGGTTGGTAAGGTGGATGAGTCTGGCTGCCGTATTGAGGATCAACTGAAGTGGGGATAGCCTGTTGTGAGGCAGGCCAGTGAGGAGGGAGTTGCAGTAATCGAGTCGTGATATGATGAGGGAGTGGATAAGCTGCTTAGTAGTTTCTGGGGTTAGGAATGGGTGTATTTTGGCGATGTTGCGGAGGTGGAGTCTGCATGCGTTTGTTAGCGATTGGACCTGGGGCTGGAAGGATAGATTGGAGTCTAGTATGACACCAAGTACTCTGGCTTGCAGGGTGGGCTTGATGGTGGCATGGTAGGACATGATGGATAAGTCAGGTGGGGGGGGTTGCGTGGGCTGGGGGGAAGATTAGGAGCCAGGTTTTGGAGAGATTCAGTTTAAGGAAGTGGAGCGATATCCAATCTGATATGTCGTTCAGTAGGCTGGTGATTCGGGCGGAGACTGAAGGGGTGAGGCGAGGGGTCGAGAGATAGATTTGCGTGTTGTCGGCATAGAGGTGGTAGTTGAAGCCGTGAGAGTGTATCAGTTGGCCAAGGGAGGATGTGTAGATGGAGAAGAGAAGGGGCCCGAGGACAGAGCCTTGAGGGACCCCAACAGAGAGGGGGAGTGGGGGAGAGGTGGTAGTGTTATAGTTAATGCTGAAGGAGCGTTTTGATAAGTAGGATGAGAGACAGGAGACAGCTGAGGCCAAGGGAGTATAGTTTCTTGAGTAATAACCATCTACCCACTCTCCAAATTCCCTAACAAATATGGAAATATTGTACTTCACCTTCCTTTTCTGTGAAGGGTATCTCCTTTTTTACGACAATCTCCAACAAAAACTAGTGTTCTGCAAAATTGAAATGGGAGGAGGATCTTAAATGTTCCTTCACAATGTCACAGTGTCTCCTTGGTACCTAACTCCTTTTTGATTGGCACAATTTTATACAATCCCCTCTCTGCTGGTGGAATTATGTTTAAACCAGGTAACATTTACCATATCTTCTGGTCATGCAAAAATCTCACTAGTTTTTGGAAACAGGTATTATGATTTATATCCACTGTCAGCAGCGTTTTGACCACACCTGACCACGCCCTAGCCATTCGAAACCCAGGCATCGAGAACTTCCCTCACACATACTGTGCAGTCATAGCACACATTCTGCGGGCAGCTAAGTCAGTTATAATGAGACATTGGAGGAAATATACTGTATAGCCCCAAGCGGGAGCTCTCAGATCCTGGGCGGATGTCATATGACACCTTGCACGGACCCTAGGGACTGTGATATGTGATGTGTGATATGTCCACTGGACACAATGGATGGCAGATCACTGTACCGGGCTGGTGCTGGTATCATATGACCACTGTGACCAATCACAGCAATCACATGACAGTTGTACTCAATTAATGGATTTCATTCATAGCCATTCACTGTATACTGTTGTGCTGAACTGTGTGATTGGTCACAGAGATCACATAGTACAGACAGGGTCAATCACAGTGCAGTACATTAGGATTGATCAATTTTCACATATATATACCATAGTTTGTAGACTCTTCTGTAGACTAAGTTTCTCTTAACTTTCCTACAAACTAAATGACATACATTGATATGGATTCCTTTTACCAAAGAAATGTAGTAGAATACCTTTTTGGCCTATATTAAAAAAAAAAAAGATTATGTATTTGCAAAATTCTATAACAGCAACAAAGAAAAATGCATTTTTTTTCAACATTTTCAGCATTTTTTTCATGTATATAGCAAAAAGTAAAAAATCCAGTGGTAAATAAATACTCTATCCATCTAAAAAAAATAAACAATTCATTTGGATACAGTGTTGCATGACTGAGTAATTGTCATTGAAATGTGACAGTGCTGGAAGCTGAAAAATGACCTGGGCAGGAAAAGGGTGAGAAGTGTCTGGTACTGAACTGGTTAATTATACTCCTAAAATATGTTTGTGCACACTTTCTAGTATTTCCATTATACTTCTATAGATTATGAAGCACAATCCAAGATAAACATGATATCACAATTGAGTCCTGATTGCAATAGGGTCCATGAGATTTAAATGATTTTGTTTTAATAATGTTGAAATATAGACAGTTCCACTCTCATCTGTAGTGAGATTTCAGGCAGTTATTTCTGTTAATTATCTCTTGTGTACCTTTCTGACATGGAACAATGGGCATTAGCTGAATACACAGGTTTATGTTTGGTCCTCTCTAGTTTGGGTAAATAGAAAGTAATATACTCTGTTTTTCCCCATATAACACTGATTGGTGTTTGCTGTTGGACAAGGTCTTGTAAACACAGAAAAGTAGTATTGTTTAACTTTGAGTCTTCTCTTAAGCCGGCCATAGATATTTCAATCGCAGCAGTTTCAACTGGGACCAGCCAAGATTCAAAGCATGTATGGGCAGGCTGAATTTGATCAAGTTGATCAGCTTGTCTGATTTTACATGTGATTATTGCTAGCGGCTATTATACCCAAACAAATGTGTTACACTATCAAAATATTTTGAATTAACTATAAATATATAGTGTATAAATGAATAAAAAAACCTCCACTATAAATTTTATAAATACATAAATACAATTGAATTAAAAAATTTATTAATAGGCACATGAATAAATTGGTGTTCAAAAGTTCATGAAGATTCATAAATAGTAAATGAGGAACCAAATGTTATGTGAAACAAACATGCTCAATTTGTGCTCCTGACAGCAATTGCAGGGATCTTGTGCCTCAAATCCTCACCGCCGTGCACACCACCAAAAGGAGACATCAAAGCCTCTTATTGGAAACAAAGGCCTGACAGGGCATTAAGCCGAGATCCCTCTAGGAATGGATGGATGATCACCGCTCAACTCCAGTTGTAATCACAAATTGAACGGTCAGGCGACCAGGAACCATAGGCACCCAATCTCGAAGAATTTGAATCACAAAAAAATTCCATTTGTAATCAACCACCTTGTGCAATTGTTACTATCATCACTCCTTACTCCTTATAACACCATCATGCGCCAAGCACAACTCCAGAATGAATTAATCCAAAGAGACACATGTAAAAGGGGATCTCTTACGGTGCAGGAAATAAAAGTAAGTTTATTTAACCCCTTGCCGATCATCCTATAGCAGAAATACTGCTACAGGGCAGCAAAATCACAGATAAATACGTGATTTTGCATTTCCGGGTAGGGGGAGCGCACGAGCTGCAAGCATGCCCTACCCATACTACCATTCGTGGCTGCAGTTCTCAATCACCGGGCCCTGGCTGCTAATTACTTGGCAGCGCCCAGTGATTTCTGAGGATCTCCTACGGGGAGGAGGACTGTTTTGTTTACTAACAGTCCGCCTCCCTTTCAGCTCGGGTACACTGCTGTGCATGGCTGTGCACAGCTTAGACATTCACATCAGTGTGATTACAGTGAATCACACACATCCTGCCCCCTAGTAAAACACTCCCAGCACACGCACACAGTTAACCCTTTGATTGCCCCTTATGTTAACACCTTCCTGCCCAGTGCCATTAGTACAGTGTCAGTTCTTTTTTTTAGTACTAATCACTGTATTGCTGTCACTGGGGATGTCAGTGACACCAAGTCACTTCCTCCAGTATCAGAATGCCCACCGCAGTCCTTCAGTCCCACTAAAAGTGGCTGATCGCTGCCATTACTTGTAAAAAAGTAAAAAAAAAATACCAATATATATACCGCCATTTGTAAATGCTATAACTCTCACGCAAACCAATTAATTTACACATATTGGGATTTTTTTTAGCAAAAACATGTAGCAGAATACATTTTGGTGTAAATTTATGATGAAATTAGATTTTTAAAATTTTGTTTACTGGACGTGTTTAATAGCAAAAAGTCAAAAATATTGTTTTTTTCTCAAAATTGTTAGTCATTTTCTTTTTATAGCACAAAAAAATGTACAAAAAACACACAGGTGATCAAATACCACCAAAAAAAGCTCTATTTGTGGGGAAAAAAAGAACGTAAATTTTATTTGGGTGCAGCATTGCATGACCGCACAATTGTCATTGTCAAAAAAATGGCCTGGTCAGGAAGGGGGTAAATCCTCAGGAGGGCAAGTGGTTAAAAATAGACATAGGCTCATATCTAACCAAGTATCAAAGCATCTTGTATACACAGAAATCAGCAGGGATGATGGCTTTGTCGCTGTAACTCCGCCGATGCATTTCATCCAAACAGACATCATCACTGGGACAATGCTGGTAGTAATAACTTTGTTCTTGTGGTGGGAACTGCTCCCCCCTTCCACCGCTGGGAGAACACAATGGCTCCATGGCAGGGATTCCCCCATAACACTGTTGATGGGTAAATCAAGCAATGTTCTTTCCTGCAACTTGTGATTGCAGGAAAGAAAATTGCTCCATCTATAGCTGGATCTATTTAGATTAGTTTGTTTATGGACGCATATGACCCATTGTCATTGCTTGATCAATAACTGTGTTTACCATGAATCTCAAACAAACTCTCTTTTCATAGCCTCTTCTTAGGGTATTTTAGTTTGTGATCTTGTATACCTGTGATGGTGGGGTTCACCCAGAGGTTATTCAGCATAACTCATTGAGACATTCTGTTATTTTAATTCAGAGAAGTTCTGACATGTATGTCCATATTTAATAGTACAAAAAATGGCCACTGCCCCAGTCTATAACTAGCCTTCACAGAAAGGAGCACATGGAAGGGTGACGCATGTCAAACAACAAAAAAAAGAAAAATTCCCAGCTCTAACTTGCCAGCCAGCTTGCAAACAAACCAAATTAACTTAACAGTATGTGTTAAAAACAGGGGTTTAGTTAGCACACATTTGCAAATACATGTGTAAGCTACATAGCCTCTTTACGGCACCCCAGTATCCTGTAGTTCCTAACTCTCCAATTTTAAGAGCCCCCATAGTAGAGGCACATGTATTTAATGGATAGACCAAGGGCCAGTGAACCTGAGGGTGCCCACCCCAATATGTCCATATTTAGCCCTTTTTATGTGCCCCTGTGATGCCTTTGGCAATGCTCCCACTCTGCAGTTTTTCTTGTTTCCTGTTCTGGGCCACCTGTGATATTTGCTCCTCATCTCAAGCATGCACAGTAAGACATTACAAAAAAAAGCCTTATGAAATTTGGGAGTGGGGAGGCTTTTTTTTCCCAATGAGTGTAATGTAATATGGTGCATGCATAAGACAAGGCACATTTAGGAATTAGAAGGCATGTAATCATTGCTGCAGAAGAACCAGGAAATGCAAAACAAAAAAAGGTTGAAATAAAAACAGGAAAATATTTTTTTTTAGGAAAATAATGTTCTGTGATTTTACACCATCTTGTAGAGAAAGGAAATATCCTTTTTACCTTTTTCTAAATGATTCTTCTTTTTCAAACTTTTGACTGCCTTAATTCACTATTTGCTTATACATGCATAGTAATGGCTGAGGTTTCTACTACAGTATGTTACTCAGGTCCAAAGGATTGCATATGGAGTAGTAGGAAGTGAAATGATTTGAGGAGTGTAATTTGAGAGGTGTGTCAGTTGGCACTGTAAATTGCAGTCATGCTGTCAGATTCCTTGCTGTAGGTCCTAATTTATAAAACGTGTTCTTCTATATCTAGTCTCAAATAATTACTATTGTAAGAAATCACTTTATTAGCTCAATGTCAACACAACTGTCAAAATAGTGAGTTAGAAATTCAAAGTAAACTGAAAAATATGGGTGGAAGGAAAGAAAATTGCTCGATTTCCCCATCAAAACAGTCATTGTTGATGAGAGAATCTCTCCCACAGTGCTATTGTATTCTGAAGGTGGGGAGCCTTCCCTGCCAGCAAAACACAATGATTACCGTACTGCTCGTGACTCGAATGTGGAAAACTGGTTGTACTGAAGTCAATTGTTTGATCAATTTCAGTACAACCAGCCTGCCCATAGATGGTTTGAATTTTGGCTTGTTTTAGCACCAGAGCACATGGTTGATTTTTAGTAACTCAATAATGCAACTAAAACCACTAATGCATAATTATTGAGAGAACAAATTATTTTCAATACATGGAAATATTGGCTTCCTTGGCTATAAGTTACACTAGTCACATACAGTATCATGTAGAATTTATTGACTTCATTTTTTGGGAGCATTAGGCAACCATGCAATGTACATGCTATTTTTTTAGATCACAACATAGAGATACATTGGGGTTGATTTACTAAAGGCAATTAGACTGTACACTTTTCCAGGATGTACTGATGGCATCTAGTGGGCTTGACCATTGGCCCTATAAGATCCATTGTAATTCGCTCAATGGAAATTCAATCATAGGCATCAGAACCAGCAGGCTGAAGTAATGGGGCACAGGGCTGACATTTGACACTCACATTTCACAAGACTTATGATGGTCTTTCATATCTGCATGTATCTCGGCCAAAAAAAGTAGTAAAAACAAATTCTTTGGTCTTTTCATAGTCCAAGTGACCCGCCCCCTTCCCAGAGTAAGTGCATGGGCCACGTCTAACACTGTCTTCCTTTAAGGCCCAGGCATCAATAGTTGTTACACAACCTCATCCCAAATGTTATTAATCTGCTACAGTCTGTGGTGCACTGCATGGTGAGGAAACACATCTTCAATCCCAGGAGTTCTATATTAATTAACTCCATATTTTTACAGACCTATTTGAGAGTGAGATTATGTAACTGGGGGTTTAAAAGTTTTCCTAGGTGAAAAACTGCTAGGAGAAGAGAATCACTTTGTCAATAGTCACCTCTAAAGTACTATTATCAGAGTTATGTTCAAGTGGATCAAGTGTCCACTCCATGGATATCATGGTATTTTCATGCTCCAGTCCCTTTCCTACCTACTGCACCCAGAACAATGGAACTCTCCACAGGATCTCACAATGCAACAATAATGGAGACGTCTTACAATCACACTACTGCTACCTGGTGCTAGGTCAATGTGTCAGGGGCAACGAGCTTAGTATGAATCAAGGTATTCATATAGACTGGGAGGGCATGAGAGCTTTTCCCACCTATCTTTATCGTATAGTTAGGCATGTCAGAATAAGTGACCAAAACCTGGGTACACAGCAAAGACAACCATAAGACTAGGTCACACTGCATAGGTTTTCAGATAAGAGGGCACTTGGTAGCAATATGACCCTTCTCACTACACTGAAAACACTAGGGAAGCCTATGCATTCAGCCAGGGCATCCCAAACAAGGCCTCCCAACTTGAGACAGCTCTCTAACCACTTTCCAGTCTGTTGGTGACTCCCCTTTGTGGCTCTACAGACCATAAAGCTGTTTTTGATCTGTGCAAGGGGAAGTGGCCTTTTGATTGTTACAGATCTCAAAGTTGTAGATTAGGCCAAGAAGATCTCTCTGGCAGAATAACACTCCACAAGCTCCACCAGCTGATCAACTGATTTGAATAAGCTTGGCTCACCCACCTTCACAGCTCTGAAAAGATGGCCTTCATAAACTGGTCCAATGGTGACTTTCTGCATTGGTTGCCCAGTAAAAACTGCAGCCACAAATTAACCAGGTTGATCGGGTCATTCATTTGAAAGTGGGCTGCCCCCTCTGCCTAGTAGCTGCAGCTGTGTATGCATTGTGCCCTTACTGAGGTTTTCACTCCCAGACATCACATGATCGCCTCTTTTAATTTGTCATAATCCCAGGCATTGTCTGAGGTCTGGTTAACGTATGACTTTTGAGAGTCTCCTGATAACAATGGCATGACAACAGTTTCCCAAAATTCTTTAGGTTAGACCTGCTCCTCTACAGTCCTCACAACAGTACATAAGAAGGCCTTAACATCATCTTCGCCTCTTTTACTTTGTTGGAGAGGTCTTACTATACCTGAACTGGTGTCACTAGGGAAAATGGCAGAAACATCTGAAGTCCAGGTTGCCAACTACTGCAACACTTCTGGCAGTCTGGACACTTAGCCCTGGTTTACAACGAATGATATTTCAAAGTGGTGTGATTTGGTCCTATTTAAAGTGCAACTTCATGAGTGATGTGGTGCAACTTCAGTGTAACGTATGCTCAATTTCAATGTGATTTGAAGCCATTTTATTCATAAATGTTTCACTAGGAAAGGGTTAAGCTAAAACTTCAAAATGGCTCAAAGTAGCCCTGATATAGACACATGTGTGATTTCAGTGTGATTTACATTATAGTCTATGAGAGTTAAATTGCACTGAAGTCGTAAAAAAGTAATGCAGAAACTGTTTTCCAAATCTCACTACTTGAAATCACACCTATTAAGACAGTGCCATAGAAATACATTAGATGCAACTTCAGGTGTGTGATTTGTAAATCGCATGTGGCACCTGAAGTCCCAGTAGTGTGAACCATGGCTCAAGTGCATTTAAAGGCTACCTGCCCAAGTTTATTTGTCATAGTTGCATCAAACACAAAGCAAAAGTGTTTCCTTGGTGTGGGTCTATGTCAGCACAGTTCAATAGTAACAAAAAATTCAGTCTTCAGGCTAGTTATGAGACATTTTTGGGTCAGTTTTATATCTACATCCCATTTTAGCATGACCTGCAAGCACTCTCACTCTCCACCATGGACCACACACTGCTCACCCCAGAAAAAAACTCAAATGACTCCCCAGGTGGGAAACAAGGGTGTAGCTTGGGCTTAACCATTTGCCTACTGCTACATAAATCAACCACCAGCTTGTCTTAAAAAGAAAAAAATCTAGGTGGCAAGTAAAACCCACACATACTTTGCCCTGGCCTGAAAGGGTCTGTTTGTCATTATATATTGTATATGAATATATATATATATATATATATATATATATATATATGCACTATTTAATATAATCATTACAAGTGCATTTTCCTAAACAATAAGGAAGCCCAAGGTCAGTCATATGTGTTGAAATTGGCACAGTGGGATATGCTTTTGATGGTGATAAAGTGTTGCTTTCGAAAAGTAATGTTGCTTTCAGTCAGGTGTGCTACCTTTATAATCCAGCCTGAGAAAACTAAAACCCACACATGACTCTGCCCTGGCCTGAAAGGGTCTGTTTGTCATTATATATTGTATATGAATATATATATATATATATATATATATATATGCACTATTTAATATAATCATTACAAGTGCATTTTCCTAAACAATAAGGAAGCCCAAGGTCAGTCATATGTGTTGAAATTGGCACAGTGGGATATGCTTTTGATGGTGAAAGTGTTGCTTTCGAAAAGTAATGTTGCTTTTAGTCAGGTGTGCTACCTTTATAATCCAGCCTGAGAAAACTAAAAGAGAGGAGGAAAAAACAGAAAACAACAGCACACTTAATGAGTTAAATCAATTTGAAATAAGAAGGAAGAGCTGATTGAATTATCAGCAAGGTAAAATGACCTTGCTATAACCTAGGTAAAAATTCTGTGAGTAAAGAAAATTGCACTAACGTGATTTGTTTACATTGCTGTCCTTTTTTTCTACAAATCATTAGAAGGCCTCATCTAAGCTCCATCACATCAAGGGGCTGCATATAAGGCATAGCATTTTATAATAAAAAAAAGCAGCACCAGTTTTAACATTATTGCTCATCTAACTGATATTTGCAAGAACTATCTTAAACCTGAACTGATCTCCATTTAATTATGTCTTAAAATAATGAACATTTTCCATGTATAAACAAGATATACATTATATATGTAAGCATACCCAGTGCTCTGTATTTTTAAGGATGGGCTTTGGGTTGTCCTGATGAATGATAATGCACGGAATAGCATTTTAACTATAGCCAGCAGGCTTAGAGGGGCCAGTAAGAGCCCCCAGACCCATCAAAACAAAGGCATGGGGTGCCATTCTGCTGCTATAGTAGGTAGTTGCTGTAGGGAAAAGATAGAGAAATCTGACAAAGACCATAGAGAATTATTATGACCAGTTGGGAACTGTGTTCTAATTCTGTTTTGTTAGCTGTTTGAAGTCAACCCTTTAAGTTTGTTCTTAACAATGGGGACAGGAGGTCAGCAGTTGCTTGTCATGAAGCACAAGCATTTTCAATCTGTTTTGGTAATGACTAGTGATTATGCAGGCCATACATGGTCCAAATTTCGAACGATATTTCGTCCGAAAATTGAAAAAAGTTGTTCGCTCGGTAATCCGATGGTGCCACCAATGATTTTAAAAATCAGCCGAGCAAGTCATACAGTTCACCCCATATAACAGGTGAAACTTCTGTTCCTTACAGGTCACGGCTCATGAGCATATGCTTTTTCGGAAAAACGATCATACGATTTGACCATCATCATCACCATCACTCTTTATTAACACCTTATTAACCCTTAGCTTACCATAATCCGTCCTAAATAACTCCTTCTCCTCCTCCCTATTTTTTGTTTATTTTTATTTTAACCACTAGCCTACAGGGCATTTATACCCCCTTCCTGCCCAGGCCAATTTCAAGCTCTCAGCGCTTTCGCACTTTGAATGAAAATTGCGTGGTCATGCAACATTGTACCCATATGAATTTTTTATCATTTTTTGTGACAGAGCTTTATTTTGGTGGTATTTAATCACCTCTGGGATTTTTATTTTTCTTAAACAACCAAAAACCACTGAAAATTTTGAAAAGTTTTTTCTTAGTTTTTGTTATAAAATTTTGTAAACAAGTGAATTTTCTCCTTCACTGATATGCGCTAATGAGGCTGCAGTGATGGGCACTGATAGGTTGCACTGATGGACACTGACAGGCATCACTGATGGGCACTGAAAGGCAGCACTGATAGGCGGCACTGACTGGCACTGATAGGCGGCACTGACTAGCACTGATAGGTGGCATTGACTGGCACTGATGGGTGACACTGAATGGCAGCTCAGATGGGCACTGATATGTGGCATTGATGTGGCACTGATGGGCACTGGCACGAGGCACTGATGAGCACTGACACAAGGCACTGATGGGCACTGACAGGTGGCGCTGCTGGGGCTACACTGATCATCAGGGCACACTGATCATCAGTGCCCTGATGATCAGTGTATATGTCCCGTCCACAGAAAGCCGATTACCAGCTCTCCTCTCCAGCTGTCAGCGTGACAGCTCGAGAGGAGAGAAATGCCGATAACCGGCATTTCCCTGTTTACATGTGATCCCCTGTGTCTGAGGGACACCGTGAATCGCCACGCTGCGCGCTCCCTGAGCCGCGCATGCGCGGTGAGAATGGGAGGACATCATATGACGTCCCAGAACGAGAGAACCACCTTGCGTCCGTCATATTACTATATGGCGGGCGGGAGGTGGTTAATAACCAATAATATTTTACATTTTAAAATTTTTTTAGAGTAGCATTAAAAAAGTGCACAATTGAAAAAAAAATAATATTTCATTTGTAAATAGCTTTGCAATTTTTTGTGCCAGAGTCATGATCGTAGTATAATTTTAACCACTTTCCCATCGCCCTATAGCAAAAGTACTGCTACAGGGCTGCGCAAAATCATGCACCCCCTACTCATGCCACTATTGGCGGCTAGGGATGTCAATCACTGGGTCCCAGCTGGCGATCGCCAAATAAAGCTGACAGGGTAGAGACCTGTAAACAACACAGATCTCTCTCCTGTCAGCATGGACATGATGATTTGTATCTCTCTGCACAACAGAGAGATACAAACCAGCATGCCTCCCTAGTAAAACACAGCACACAGTAAAGCACACACAGCACACAGTTAACCCTTTGATCACCCCCGATGTTAACCTTTTCCTGCCCAGTGTCATTAGTACAGTGTCAGGGCTTTGTATTAGAACTGATCACTGCATTAGTGTCATTGGGGATGTCAATAGCAGTTAGTCAGTTCCCACCCAGTGTCAGAATGCCTCCCACAGTCCCACAGTAAGATGCTGATTGTCACCGTTAGCAGTATAAAAAAAAATTCCAGTATATATACCACCATTTGTAGACGCTATAACGTCCATGTAAACCAATTAAAGTGTTACTAAACCCAGGATCCTGCATTCACTATATCCTGTCTCCCACAGTACACAGAACATGGGAGTGCAATTATTTTAGTAAATATAAACTGCTAAATACCATTTCTCATCAGCAGTTAGAGCAGTCTTGTGACATCTATCTGTGTCCAGCCCACCACTAGCTAAAGCTTGTAGCAGGAGTTTTCTTTCTGCTCCAGGAGGATGGAAATCCACTGACAAAGGTTTGTGCAGTGCTGATTGGTCCTGTGCAAATCACATGCACTCTCCAAAGACAAAAAAAAAACCCCCCTCTCTAGCAATACACACCAAACTGAGCATGTGCATGCCTACGCATCAGTCTGGAGATAAGAGGCGGTCTCTCGAAAAAGGGGAGGAACAGAGAAGAAAGAATCAACAGCCTGTTTGCAATGTAGATGATTAACCCCTTTGGTTCCACAGTGAGTATAACAAGCATGATGTACTGCATATACAGGCTGATTTTACTGTTGTGGGTTTAGTAACACTTTAATGTACATGTATTGGGATTTTCTTTAGCAAAGACATGTAGCTGAATACATTTTGGACTAAATTTAAGAAGAAATTAGATTTTTTAATTGGATATGTTTTATAGCAAAATGTCAAAAATATTGTTTGTGTTTTTTTTTCAAAATTGTCAGTCTTTTTTTGTGTATACAAAAATAAAAAAGCGGAGGTGATCAAATAGCAGTAAAAGAAAGCTCTATTTGTGAGGGAAAGGACATAAATGTAATGTATATACAGCATTGCATGACTGCGCAATTGTCAGTTAAAGTAATACAGTGCCGTAACGCAAAAACTGGCCTGGTCATGAAGGGGGGTAAATCCACTGGAGGGCAAGTAGTTAAACAAGACACATTTTAGAATACGATGCACCCTTTTTATCTACAGTAATGCTGATTTTTTAAATCTAGCACTGGTTAGTTTTTATTTTTTTAATTTTGTTACAATTTTCTCTAAGGTCCCATGTACAAGGGACACTTCTGAATGATGGAAACTGACTGCTGAAAAATGTAGGTTAAAAAACACCTGTTTAGCTGCATTTGCATAACACATTTATGTGCGTTTGCGCTTAGAAGCGTTTTAAAAAAATAAGCACAGGGAACCTCCCAAATGCCCAGAATGCACTGAAAAGTGGTAAATTGTTAACTATTTCAGACTGTTTCAGAGAAATACAGAGAGCAGAAGCAGAGAGAGCTCTGCCCCATGTGACTTCTTCAGGACACGTGACATAACGCGTCGATACGCTACGTGGTGATGTCATTACGCCGGCAGCCATCTTGGGGCACCCAAGATACATGTGAATATACCCATGGTATGAGGTGGAATGCCTTATTAATACTGCACAAATGTGAGTGTATCTACTGGCATTTTTTGGTCTGATTACTTGCATTAAACAATATTGCACTATGAAAGTATCTTTTTCTTCTTTTATGGGCATGTTCTAACTGAGAACTGGGCAGAGCTTCTGTGAGTAGGTTGGAGATAGGCAGGTGAACTTACTATCGATCCAGGAAGGGGATACATACTTGGTACAATTGGAACACTTGTCACTTTAAGATTATCCCGTTTTATGGGATTCACATTGCTGACACTATTTGGAGTGTATCATCCCAATTTGGGATTGGGTTGGTTTTTGTTTTTGCACGGCATATAGGGTCTGAATTTGTGACACATTTTTTATATATTCACATAGTTGCACTTTATATATTTTTTTGCACTTTATTTCGGATCCTTTTTAGGAATTTATAGTTTTTTTATTAATATTTTATCATTTTATTATGTGTATTTATTTTTAGTGCTGCACCATATGTACATTATAAATGCATTGAGTTGCTGCCATGTGATTGGCTGATTAGAAATTTGTATTACCAAGGAATTGAACAGGTGTAACTAATAAAGTGGTAAATGAGTGTAAATCCCTTATAGGTGTTTACCTCATACATATAATTAAATATGGGGGTGGGTGATTGCACCCAAAGATCCACTCCCTGTTGTGCCTGAACCTCATGCTGAAGTTGTAAGTAATAAAACTGCATTATTTGAGGAAGACCAAATGTCCCATGGAGCTCTGTAAAGGGACTTAGGGCTCCCTCAGAAAAAAATATGATGGAGGTGCGCTATGCCATATCTTTTCCATTTAGCACTTTACCACAATACAGCTAGCTCAAATTAGTGGGCATTCCCCCAAGTGGGGCTAAATCGAGTAAACCCTGTAACTAGTTGTAAGTGTCTAACCTTATTCATGAGAACATACGTAAGGACGTACGTAAGTTTAATTTATTTACTGAAAAGTAGAGCTTCTAGACCTCTTGCTATCTCCTATGTACCTACCATGAACGCTAGAAGTCTAGTAGAAGGGTCCAAAGTATTCATCTCTGCTATAGTAGCTGGGCGTGTGGCCCTCACTATATGCTGAGCCATTAAGTAGTACAACCAAGGGTTAGGCAATGCCAGCCTCCAGTATCCTTGGGTTGCTGAAACTGCTCCAACTTCACCCTAGTGTTCTTTATCTGCCATAGAAAGGTCCTAAAGATGGAATTAATAATCCTGAACAGTTTTAAAAGGATGACCACCAGTGAATTATGAAGGTAATATAATAACTGGGGCATGAGGATCATCTTAATGAGGTTAGTTCAGCCAACCAATGACAGTCTAAGTCTAGTCCACACCTTGATCCTGTCCAAAAAAGGGTTCAGTAGGGTAATAAATTTAGGCAGATATAGTCCAGGGGGCATGGAGTCACCTGAATGTCCAAATAATTAAATGAGGTGGAGATAGGAATATCATCTGAGGTGGTAAATGGGCATCTTTTCCTTTATCTAATGGAATAAGAGAGGTTTTAGTCCAATTGATGATTAGGCCTGAGTATGTTCCATTGCCAAGGAAGAGGAAGTATCCCCTAACATTAACATAGAATCATCAGCATACAACGTGAGTTTTTCATGTAGAATGCCATATTGAAATCTACTTATATTTGGGTTGGATCAAATGAGAGCTGCCATGTGCTCAATAGCAAGAGCAAATAACAAAGGGGATAGAGAGCATCCCTGCCTAGTACCCCTGTGAAGAGCAAATATGGAGGACACCCTTCCCGCCTCCTTGATGACTGCTTTAGGAGCACTATATAGCAGGCGGACTCAAGAGAGAAAGCCCTCCCCAAATCGAGACTTCCGCATAACTTCCCACAGATACAACCATTCAATGCCGTCAAAAGCCTTATGGGCAACAAGTGACCGCAAAGCCCTATCTCCTGCATTGTCCACCTGGGATTGCAAATTGAGAAACAAAAAAAAAAATTGATGGTTGTTGACTTTGGAAGCATAAACCCTGCTTGATCAGAGTGAATGAAAGATGCTATAACCTTATTCAGTCATAAAGTGAACAGCTTTGCAATAACTTTTATAACATTTTGTAGTAGGGAAATGGGTCCGGATATTAGTCCATATAGGAGCCCGAATCTAATGAATCCTTGCTTGGCTTTAACAGTAGAACTATATTCACCCTAGCCATATACAGAGGAAGGCATTGACTATCTTTTGCCTCATTAAATACCCCAAGCAAGTGTGGCAAAATACTATCAGCATAACTTATACACTTCAATTGGTATACCATCCTCGCCCAGGGCCTTTGGGAAAAACTGGTCGCCAACTGTATTTCCTCCAAAGTCAGATGGGCATCTAGTTTTTTTATGTGTTGTGGCAGAAAGACAAGGTATCAGGATATCCTGAAGGTAGTTGAGCAAAGACTCTTCAAAGTAACTCTGTTTAGATTGATATAGGGGAGTGTAATACGTAACCAATTCTGCCATAAAATTCTAAAATTACCGAACCGCCCTGTCGTCTCAGAGCTCCAATTGAAGGGTAGACCTGTTGTGAATGTGCTATTATAGCTAAAAAGGTGACATGTTTGTTCCCCTTCCTCATAGAAAGATAATGTATTGAAAAAACATTTCCACTCGGCCACTGAGGTGGTAATGCATGTCATGGAAATTTT